AATTGTCCTTTTGTCTTTTGGTTTAAAATTTGTAAGAAATTAGTACAGCTACCACAAGATCTAATATGTGGTGTGATCTATATTCCACCTATTAATACATTATATACAGCAGATGATGCTATATCTGAGATAGAGATAGAATTGCATAATATGTATAAAGATTCACAATATGTCTGCTTATTTGGCGATTTTAATAGCCGAACTGGTACCTTAGCTGATTATTATGATAAGGATGATTTTGATGATACATTTGTGAATGAATTGATTGATTTTAATGAGTTCTCTGAAATAGGCATTTTAGACGACCTTGGTATACCGAGGAAAAGAAACTCTCAAGATCAAACAGTAAATACATATGGCAGAAAACTTATTAGTTTTTGTAAAAATAATAACATATTTATATTGAACGGTCGATTTTTATCTGACAAAGTTGGTAAGCCAACAAGTCGTAACTTAAGCGTAGTTGACTACGTATTGGGCTCTGCAAATATGTTTCACAAAATTGTTGATTTTGAAATTATGCAATTTAGCAATTTATATTCGGATATTCATACGCCAATCTTTTTACAACTAGCTTGCAATGTAAAATCGGACATGCTAAAAGTAAATACATGTATTAGAAATAATGACAAATACATAGGTAAATGGAAACATGAAAAGAGTACTGATTTTACAAGTAACATAAACAGAGATGAGGTTAATGAATTATTGTCACATATCTTAGAAATACATGATGATATTAGTAAAGTGGATCAAAGTAGTGTAAATGAAATTGTTACCAATGTTACTAAGATTTTGCTTGATTCAGCAGAAAAAACTTTTGGTGTATTTACGAAAGATTGTAGTAATTCAAAAGAAGATTATAATAATAAAGAATGGTTTAATCTCGATTGTAAAAATAGTAGAAAAGATTATAGAAAGTCATTAAGATTGTATAAACATTATGGGTCTAATATTTTCAAAGTTAGACTACGAAATAATGAAAAAATATATAAAAAAACTATGGATGATAGCATTCGTCTCTTTAATCATGATTTGAAGAAGAAAATGAAAGCATTACGTAAGAAAAATCCACGTGATTTTTGGAAAATGTTCAATAAGTTTAAACGTACAGTGAATAATGACATTGATATCAAACAGTTTTATGATTTTTTTAAAGAATTGAATAAAGATAATCTTAATAAAGCGAATATTGAACTAGATAACAATTTTGATACTGATAGATCAAATTATTTCTTGAATAAAACAATAACAAGAGACGAGGTTATCAAAGGTATACAAAGTGTTAAAAATAATAAGTCACCTGGTGACGACTTAATAATAAATGAATATATTTTATCATCTTCTGAATTGATGTTAGATATATATGTATATATGTTCAATTTAATTTTCGATACAGGTTTCTTACCTGAAATATGGCTTTTAGGAAATGTTATTCCAGTGTTTAAAAACAAAGGTAGTAAAAGGGAACCGAAAAACTATCGGCCAATAACGTTACTATCCAGTTTAGGTAAAATATTTACTTCCATTTTAAGCAATAGACTTTGTGATTATTTAGATGAGTTTTTAATTTTACAAGAAAATCAAGCAGGTTTTAGACCAGGATACAGCACAAATGATCATATTTTTGCTCTTTATGCCTTTTTTGAACTCTTGAAATTAAAGAAGAAAAAGTTTTATTGTGCGTTTATTGATTTTCAGAGAGCTTTTGATTCTATTCAAAGAAATCTCCTTTTATTTAAACTTTTGAACAATAATATTAACGGAAAGTTTTTCCGAATTATACAAAATATGTATAAAGATATAAAATCCCGTATTGTCTTCAATAATGAGAAATCTGACTTCTTTCCTTGTGAAATTGGGGTACGACAAGGTGAAAATTTATCTCCTGCTTTGTTTTCTGTATATCTGAATGATTTACAAGCATTTTTAGAAGAGTTAGATACAAAAGGTTTACAGTCAATAAGTGCAGACCTAGAAAATGAACTAGATGTGTATCTGAAGATTTTCTTATTGTTATATGCTGATGACACTGTTTTATTAGCGGATAGTAACACTGAATTACAAAATATGTTAAACAAATTTGCAATATATTGTAACAAATGGCAACTTAAGGTAAATGTTGATAAAACAAAAGTTCTTGTTTTTGCTAATGGTAGAATTCCACAAAATTTGAATTTCTCTATTAATGATACTGAAATTGAGATTGTTAAAAATTATAAATATTTAGGAATATTCTTTTCAAAAAGTGGTTCATTTTTACAAACTAGAAAATATTTAAGAGACCAAGGAATAAAGGCTATGTATTCTATCTTGAAGAAGAGTAGAATTAATAATTTATCTATCGAATGTCAACTAGATCTCTTTGATAAGGCTGTTGTACCTATTTTGTTATATGGGTCAGAGATTTGGGGTTTTGAAAACTTTGACTTATTAGAGCGGGTGCACCTAAAATTTTGCAAACTCATTTTACATTTAAAGCAATCAACCCCAGACTGTATAGTTTATGCTGAACTAGGCAGATTCCCAATACTTCTTTATGCAAAAGTTCGTATGATAAATTTTTGGGGCAGAATTATAAACGGTAAAGAGTGTAAAATTTCTCATGTTCTTTATAAATTATTACTTATAAATCTAAATAACTATGGTTTTGAAAGTAAATGGTTGATTTATATAAAAAATGTTTTAGATAATTGTGGAATGTCTAATATTTGGAATATGCAGTTTGCTGACAAATGGGTATCAAAAAGTGTGGAACAAAAACTTAAAGATCAGTTCACACAATTATGTTTGTCACATATAGATAGCTTACCTAAATGCCTATGTTATAGAATTTTTAAGACTAATTTGAAATTTGAGAATTATCTCAACATATTGCCTAATAATTTATTATTTGTATACTGCAAATTTAGATGTGGAAGTCACCGGTTACCAATTGAGACGGGAAGATGGCGAGGCTTGTCACGAAACGACAGACTTTGTCATCTCTGCGATTCAAGTGGTATTGGTGACGAATATCATTACATCATGACTTGTAAATCTTTGGATGTAGAGAGAAAGAAATTTTTACCTGAATATTGCTGTAAAAATCCAAATACATACAAATTTAACGGTTTATTTAATTCAGACAATACTATCATTTTAGAAAAATTATGTAAGTTTATAAAAATAATACAGGTGAAAGTCAGTCCTCCAAGTTAAGTTACGTTTGTTCACACATGTGCATGCTTATATATACATATATGTAATTGTAGATATATATTTTCTCTGTAACTATGACATGTAGTTTTGTGAGAATAAAGTTCATTCATTCATTTAAATAAAGGGTAATACATATGGTTCTTTATACCTTGATTAGAGTACAACGATATCTTAAAATTATGATAATGTAATAATGTATCATCCATGCAATTACTTTGTTTGTACACAAAAAAGTGTGTACTATGAAACCTTGTGAAGGGAAATTAAAGCAACTTGGTGATAATTTTTTAAACTTTCTTAAGGAAGGTGATCTATTTCGTCATGAATTGATTGATTTATTAATTATCGTTTGCTTAATTTCCAGTGGCAAATATTTCATGCATGTTCAGGACGATGTCATGAATTGAAAAACTGTGATTATGTCTGAAGATAATGTGCCAATTATATATATAAACATATTCTGATAAATCTTTTAGTTTTTACTTTCAAATAATAAAACAAAAACAAAAACACACAAAACCTATAATCTCTGATCTATTGGTAGTTGCTTTTTAATGCCTATCTGCTAGACTATATCTATGGGGACAAACTATCTATATGTTTCAAATTTAGTATAGCTTTAGTTTTTAGTGAAATTAAAAAATGTTTTCAAAACATGTAAAGCTTCCACTGCAATTTAATTATTGCCTGCTTTTGGTCAATTTATTTGGTCATCTTACCATGTAAGAAGAACATGTATAGTAAAACACCGCTTTATATCAATATACATACTTACACCAGCAGCTACCATCTTTTCATTCTGGAGTCAAGGGCCTTTTGAAATCACATATTTTACAATGATACTAGTGAGTAGATTTACAAAACTTCGTTAATGAGCTTCGTTTTACAAACACCTGTGATACAAGTAGTCAGCCAAAATAAACTATCAATAGACCAATTAAAAGATTACTCGAGTTGTAAATATGTGCTAAATTGGATAGTCTATGAAAAGGTATACACTATGAAATTAAGAGCTCGGGGCAAGCCCCTCGCTCTTAATTTCATAGTATATACCTTTTTATAGACTAACCTAGACTTAAACACTTTCTACAAAATTTTAAATACAGCAGTCAAAACATATAAGAATGGAGTTCAATATACTTAAACAATTTTGAATTGCCAAAAGACAAGTCTGGAAAATGCTACCATTACTCTTCTGTAATAAATGGAAGCTTTAAAGTTACTTCAAATTTCACATAAGGTAAAGAAGAAAACCTTTAAAATCTAAATTAACATTTTTAGAAGAAACTTTAAATTTAGGAAAATTATTTTAAGAATAAAAAATATATTAATTTGGATCCATATATATATATATATATATATTTTTATAATTTTTTTCATAAAAATAAGAAATGCAATCAAATAATCAGTATTTAAAATCTAATAGTGATTAAATGTAACAATGACGTTAGAAATTTGAAAACTTGTCCAAATGTTTTCACTGTTAAAAATTGCATGTATATATATAAAAAAATTCATTCTATTCTAGTCTGGTGTCATTTTTATGATATCATTCTAAATGATATAGCTCTTGTTTATGTCTTTGGACGAAAAGTAATTGAAATGTAATTAATTACATTGGCAATGTATTTGTAATGTAATTAATTACATTTGAAAATCAATGTAATTGTGATGTAATTGATTACATTTAAATATCAATGTAATTGAAATGTAATTAATTGCTTTGGCATGTAATTGACCCCAAATCTGGCAATCCCCCTAAATCGTTCCGAGTGTCAAAAAAGTTATGAAATGTGTACCTTACATCCTGTTGCAGTTGCTGCACCTTCGATACAACCAACGAGTTTCTCCTTTAAAATATCAAGCTCTTCGTCTGTTGGTGTGCTGAGGTAGTATTCGAGTTCTGCTTCATTAGGAATAATATTTGGGACATCCCCTCCCTTTTTAATTATACCTGGAATAAAGAAATGTGCGTTGGCAAAGGTAACGCAGTTTAATCAATTAGACGTTTATACTCGTTTTATGCATCATGCAAACCTATATGATGAATAAAAAATGACAAACTACAATGGTCATAAGTAATTTAAAGATTCGGCTTACATTATCAGCTCGTAAAAATGATCGTAAAATGAGAATAACAGTAAAGCAACTATCGATTCCAGTTTTCTATACATCCGACATTAGGGAGCTACCATTTGATTTTTATGGGGGGGCTAGGATGAAAAATGTTGTCCTGCCTTTTAATTTTTCCCTGTATTCGGTCCTGCTTTTTTATTTTTCACTCTATTCGGTCCTGCCTTTTTTTTTTGTAGTTTATCCTGACTTTTTTTACATAAATTGTTATCCTGCCTTTTTTTTTGCAAATAATCTCATCCTTCCTTTTTTTTTAATCAAAACTCCTGTCCTGCCTATTTTTTTCAAATTTCATCCTAGCCCCCCCATAAAAATCAAATGGTAGCTCCCTTATTGATAATTGCTACAAACAACCCTACGTTAATGCGTGTTATATATATACCGAACGCTTTGCCCAGTGATTTTAAACCGATATGAACACATACAGTTTTTTATAGATTGAGTAACTTTGGACACTTAATTTTCTACCAATCTTTCAAATTTGCTGCACGATATAAGATATAGCTTTTGTTTTTGCCCAGTCAAGATTGAATAAGTGTCTTCTTACAACGACAACTTGTGCGAATTAAACTTGTATTACTTCTTACCCATAGCTCTCCACATTGGTTTCATCTGCTGTCTCATACATGATATATTGTTATAACAGGTTACTGCTGCGTCTAAAGCATTGACTCCGTCCCAGGGGAAAGACGATGCATGCGATGCCTTTCCCGTAAAAGTAATGTGGACTCTGAAATGTAAAGACGGGTCATTATTGGCGACTGGGTTTTAAATACTGAATTAAATATAGGAACTACGCTATGATATTTTTTATCCATCAACACGGAAATGTTTATTCTTATCCCTTAATTTCAAATGCAAATAGGCATAGTCACAACACATTCCATAATATTTCCTAATTTGTGGTTTAATGTCGGATTAAAAAACTAAATACTCTGAAGATTGACTGATGTTTCACATGAAATGTTTACCCCCTTCCAGAACATCTGGAATAATAAGTTATGTTAAAGATTTTACTTATTACTGAAGATCCAAAAACTTTTATTTAAAGATGAAGAAAAGCAATAATGTGGCGATTGTTCTTGTCAATCAAGAATTTACAGAACTTGACTCTGCAATGTATATATAAACTTACGGAGTCATAGCAACCATAAGAGGTTTAGATAATGTGAACTGTGATGGATGAGCCATCATGGCCACATCAACGTCGTCAAATACACCTGCAGCTATCATGTATGACTTTCCGCATTTCCCTTCTTCTGCTGGTGTACCAATTACTGACAGCTTTAAATAGATACAAATGATAGTATCAGATAACAAACGATGCTAACAAACGCTTGTGTTTTTGTCAGCTTTTATAAAAAAAAAAACAAAAAAAAAACTTTATCTTTCAATTATTTTCTTAGGATAGCAACGATTTTTTAATTGTATTTAACAGCGGAGATGTGACAAATCTTACCCTGTAATGCATGCAACATCTGACATAGATAAAATTTCTTCTATCTTTTAATTCAAGATCCTTACCTTTCCGCATTTCAGGTTTTTTGTTGACATTGCTTCCTTTATCGCAATTCCTGTAGCCACGCCTACTTCTGCGATAAGATTATGGCCACATGCATGTCCTATATTAGGTAAAGCATCATATTCACATATAACTGCAATATGGGGCTTTCCATCACCATAAACAGCTCGGAAGGCAGTGTCTAGTTTGTACTTTCTAGTCACATCAAATCCGTTTTCCTCAAGAAATTTTGTGAGCACTCCATGTGCATGAAACTCTTGGAAACCTAGCTCTGGTGTTTTCCAAATGTCTTGGCTGAGGTCATTGAGTCGTTTTTTATTTTCTTCGATGAATGTACAAGCAACAGACTTTATGTCAGACATACTTTTATGGTTAACTTCTACAATTAAAATCAAAATTCAATCTGACTTAGTATTTATATGATGTTGAATAAGTTGACGACTTTCGTATGCATAAATTGTTTATAGGTATTAGCTGTTGTTTAGTGTGATATAATTTGTCACGATAACTTCACAATGACATTCTCAATGAGGTATATATGCATGTGCTCCATGACAAACTACAGATGTTTACAAACACAATTACAAATAGGTTGGTGCAAAGCTGAACCGTCTAACATTATGCATTATATAAACCGCTACTACCATGACTACAGTTTTATTGATTATAATAAGTCATAATATATATTTATAGTTTTGAACGTTGTTTTCAATTTAGACTTGTTTATATTTTTCGTTTGGGCTTGTATTATATTTGCCTTCGGGTTTATATGATCCGTTCATCCTATTTTGACTCCTCAAAATTCAGGAGTCTATCCTAAATTGAGGTAAATTGTATGGCTTTCCTAATACCGTTTCGATTCCTAACATCACTGAAGAGACATTAATTGTCGAAATCCGGATATGGTGTACAAAAACCTTTGCACCTTTCGTTTGCGGTATACCATCTTTTCCGCAAGTTTATTGTTTTCTGTTTAGTATAAAATTTATACTTAAGATCCATTTATTACATCGGTGATCCGTTTATTTGGCAATCGCCAATGGCAGTCAGCAGGGTTTAAGAACATTTGTTGTTCGACCTGTTAGTCAAATGCGTTTTGTTAAAATATACCTTTTCACTTTTTTGGTCTTTTGGAAAATGTTGTTTGTGCTGTATTTAGACCCCTCTAACAAGAAATTTGTTTTGCATGCACACGTATAAAAATTGCGGTTTTTATCCAACGCAATCATAGGTTTGAACGTTGTTTTCAATTTAGACTTGTTTATATTTTTTCGTTTGGTCTTGTATTATATTTGCCTTCGGCTTTATATGATCCGTTCATCCTATTTTGACTCCTCAAAATTCAAGAGTCTATCCTAAATTGAGGTAAATTATGTGGCCTTCCAATAACCGTTTCGATTCCTAACATCACTGAAGAGACATTAATTGTCGAAATCCGGATATGGTGTACAAAAAATCTTTGCACCTTTGTTTGCGGTATACCATCTTTGCCGCAAAATTATTGTTTTCTGTTTGGTATTAAATTTATAGTTAAGATCCATTTATTACACCTTGTGATCCGTTTATTTGTCAATCGCCAATGGCAGTCAGCAGGATTTTAGAACATTTGTTGTTCGACCTGTTAGTCAAATGCGTTTTGTTAAAATATACCTTTTCACTTTTTTGGTCTTTTGGAAAATGTTGTTTGTGCTGTATTTAGACCCCTCTAACAAGAAATTTGTTTTGCATGCACACGTATAAAAATTGCGGTTTTTATCCAACGCAATCATAGGTTTGAACGTTGTTTACAATTTAGACTTGTTTATATATATATATATATATGTATATATAAGCAATCAGCATGTAACACTATCCTAAATAATAAATTCAAGAATCAGAACGAGTCAGTACCAGCTACTGTAAATATGCTAGATCGATTGTGTAAATGTTAAATCTGCTTTCCTTACTTTTGGGTGTTACATTGTAATTGTACACTTTGTATTTGTGTTTCTGTCAATGAAATTCTGTCATAAACATATTGAAAATTATTTGTATACAAACTGTGTAAACATAGTGTCCTTGATAAGTTCAGTGTCTGACAAAATCTTGTCTGAATTCTAAATACTGTAGCTACAAACATTAGTTCTGAAATTTACTCGATTTAAGATTTATGGAAGACCATTAGTGTTTATAAACAGATTATAACGTTCATAGCTTTATTAGTAAGTATAAAAGGGATATGCTGTTAATAATTCGTTAATCAATACTCTAAATTAATTTTTGTATTAAGAGTACTTCAAGTCTTTGCATCAAATATTCATGAATTACGAGAATACATGTAGCATACTTTTAGTGTAGGAAAATATACACATTTTCATATTTTACGGGAATGACGAATAGCTAGGATATCCGCGTTTCCGTATCATGTATCGTGCTAATCGAATGGCAAATCATTGCTGGTCCCATGCATGAAACCTACGTTGAAACCTTATGAGAGATCCTATTACCATCTTCTTCAGAAGCCCTCAAATTTATAAAACTAAGTCATAACTTCTTATACTTACGTCAAAATTTCATCAAACTGTAAAAAAAATAAAATAACATAGCATGATAGATCAACATACAATATTGAAGCTCCTTCTAAAAAACCTTATCTTTTGTACAATTCTTTCGATTTTTCCGATACTTCCTCCGTACTATTAGAGAAGCCAGGGGCCGCCGACTTTTTTCACACACACGAAAACTTTACGTAAAATTTCTCGTAAATCCTAAATATTTGATTGGAAGCCTATACGTCTAAGATGCCAACATAAAACAATCAATTGAGGACGTAAATACGTATAATAGATATTAATTTTAATGAAATGCAAAATGATAACTTGAACTTTATTAATCTATCAGAAATGGGGAAATTAACAATTATATCTAAAACCTGCCAACGCAAAACTTAGTTTGTAAATAAAAGTGTTATTAAGACTAAAGACATGGCGTCCTTTGTCTCCTATTTAGTTTATTTACTATATGCCTTAAAAAATGTATTTTGTGTTTGTATTTCAATTTTGTTATATATAATGTTTTTTAAATTATTTATGCATGACATTTATACAGATTTGAATTTGAACTTTAATGTAGATAAATTTTAATCATTCGATTTTTGTGATGCCGAGATCAGTGAGCACCGGAGAAGCAGCAAATATTTATTTCAAATTAGTCGAAATTCAAACCACGCGGCACCCAAACTTCATATTCATAGAAATGATTGTAAAGTGTGGTATAAACGAATCTTATATTAATTTCTTTAATTTTCAAAAATAAATATAATCAAGAATGTGTCCATAGTACACGGATGCCCCACTCGCACTATCATTTTCTATGTTCAATGGACCGTGAAATTGGGGCCAAAACTCTAATTTGGCATTAAAGCTAGAAAGATCATTTCATAGGGAACATGCGTACTAAGTTTCAAGTTGATTTGACTTCAACTTCATCAAAAACTACCTTGACCAAAAATTTTAACCTGAAGCGGGACAGACGGACGAACGGACTGACGAACGAACGAACGAACGGACGAACGAACGGACGCACAGACCGAAAAACATAATGCCCCTCTACTATCGTAGGTGGGGCATACAAAGGTACTACCTAAACTGTTACAGAAAAAACAGTTCAATATTTTAGTTAATATGAACAAAATGAAACGCGGTATGTGTCAATAGATAGCACAGTAATCCAAGTTGAACAATTATTATTTTTAAAACCATCTGACAACATCAAGAGATAAAATTACATACTTATCATCAATGATAGAAAAGTGACTATACCATAGGTCAGTTAATGTTATGATATCTTTCCGACATCGTTTGCAAATTATATTTTATGAGAAAGTAGGGTTCCAATGCCGCCTTTCTGACCGAAATGCCAGCCGGAGCTCAAACGACTAAACAAAAATATTAGAGCAATGGATTTAATAATAAGATCTTCTATACAAATCAATGATCGCGGTATATGGTAGTTATTTTGGGAAAATATAGCTTCAACATAGTGACATTCCTGATAAGGATTTTCAAGATCAGGAATAGAAACTATGACCAACCGACCCTAGCTAATCATTTCCCGACGTAATCGATCATGCACCGCTGTTGTCATATAGCACAAGGGTGAATTCCTTGCATTTTTTTTAATATCAATTCTGTACTTTTTGATTGAAATAGGTTGTTGATTGGTTTCGTTTAATAAATAATATCGAAATAACTTAACAAAAGTAATGATTAAATATATTTTCCCAACTTTTTAACCGTACTATTTCGGTTTTCATTTAGCAATCCTTTATAATGTTTTGCTATGACAATTAAACTGCTAGTACTAAGAAAAATAATCCGTAGAAAGTATGTGCAAATTTCAGGACTTAAATTCAAGCATGAAAGTTTATGTTCATTTTAACAAAAATCGTGATGTTGAAATATATGAACATGTAAAAAATACATAAGGAGCGGAAAGCAGGAGAAATTTTAAGTGTAAAAGGAGGGAAAACAGTGAAAACGACCGGTGCATAATTTACGTTTGCGTGCGCATTACCATGATTGTATTTGCGCGTAAAACTCATTACGTTCGCGAAAAGCTTTTTTTATTTTTACAGGTATAACTTTAGATAATACATAGGTAAAAGTATATACTTATTTATTTATTTATCTCTTTATAGTTTTTGTCCTGCCTTTGCAATTCTTTATGATGAATCGCCATGAAATATAGGGAATATTTCATTGCGATGCACCATAAAGAATTTCAAACGCAGGATAAACGTCTCCAATCGGTAAGAAAAGGAAATCCATTGTTACTAGCTTAAGCGCTAACGGGGTCTCTCATGATCATTGAATATATTTTTTTAGATTTCAATACGAAAAATGATTAATTTAGAATTATAAATATGTTCAAAATTAATAACTTTGACAAATTTATTATGCATTATCTTTGCATTTACTTGCGTTATCTGTAAAATGAATGTACGAAAATGTAATAAAAAGCTGAGTGCAATTAAACAAATTTAATCCCAAAATGCGTGCAAATGTAATGCGCCACAAATTACAACCAGTTGCAAAGGAACCCAAAACAGTTTTATTTACACTAGTTACATAATTATTAGTCTTCTATATCAACCCAGGGCTTCATGGCAACATGAACAATATCTAGTTTCAAACTTGCCGCTTGGTTTAAAACTATGTATCGATTTTCGGAATTATAAGAGCTTCAAAGCACATATTACTTTCAGATGAGAAGCGAAAGATACAAAAGGGATATTCAAGCTCATAAGTCAAAAATAAACTGACTACGGCATAGCAAAAAATGAAAAAGACCAAAAAGACAAGATATTGTTTGTTTTTCTATTATATTAACGGAGTTTATCTCTCGTGTTGTATGGAGGCCGTAGAAAGTTTCTTCGTGCTTAGGATGTATCCTCTACTGAGTTCTCTATTCTTAAAATTACGGTGAATATATAAATATATATATTTCCATTCTCAATTTTATCCTTATTTACACACCAGACCGTACTGGTTACCGGAACTTTGGATACACCAAACCAGGTATTTCATACCTGAGAAACAGGCAATATATGCCCTCAATTTTAGAATTCATTCATATATTTTAGTATTAGCCAAAATTACCAGTCAATATGTGTTTTACAAGGATCACCAGTCCCTCACCTTTCATTTGATACCTTAATTACTAAAATATCGTATACATCTATTGATATTTACACCGATGAGTAGGAACTATTTTGTTTTAAATACACTATTTTCCAGTATATGTTCTTTTTTGACCGGGCCCGATTTGGTGGTATTACATCGTACAAAGTCTATTCGAATCATTTTGCAAAGAATTCTACTCTTGCAGTGAGGTGAGAGTTTTTAGCACCGTGTTGAAGGCCTCACTGTGACTTTGAGATGAAGAAAAGCATTAAAAGCGCTGTTCCTTTGCTTTTTGTGTGTTTTTGCTGTGCATGTACTGATTTTATGTCATAGATGGAAACCCCATAGCCTTTGTTTTCTATTTAAAAACAGTATACAAAACACAAAAAATAAAACTGAAGACTGAGCAACACGAACCCCACCAAAAACCCGGGAGTGATCTCAGGTGCTCCGGAAGAGTAAGCAGATCCGTCGTCATCCGTGAAAGAGATATGACAGATATTCCATAACGGTCAACCAACTCGTGATGGGGTTCTTAAAATTTTCTAAGGGATAATTTCAACTTCACCACTTGGAACTCTTGGTTTAATAGCTTGTGAGCAGCAAGACTCTATCAAGGAAATCATAATAGGAAACGCAAGCCCTGGAATATTGTATCAACTGGGAGATATATACTCCATATGCAGGCGCTGCTGGAATGTTGCTTCATAGAAATAGAAAGTTCACAATTGGGGAGCTGAAATCAATGTTCGGAATTACAAGAGCTTCAAAGCACATATTACTTTCAGAGGAGAGGCGGAAAATACCAAAGGGATATTCAAATTCATAAGTTGAAGATAAACTGACAAAGCCACGGCAAAAAAAAACAAAAAACTACAGGCTCTTTAGAGCCTGTGTCGCTCCCCTAGGTAAATGTGCATCTTAAACAATGGACACTTTCCAACATTGTGGACAAGAATAGAATTCATGACAAAAATCTGTTTTTGTTGATCTTGTATTGCTGATATTTTTTTTCGGTTAACAGTTTCTCTCCATCTAAACATAGAAAAGGGTAAAAAAGATCCACATTTAAGGGCAATCACTACTATCAAGAGTAATAAGGAGTCGTCAAACGATTTCAGTCAATTAACTTATTTGTAGATCTTGTCATGATGATCATTTATGCTGTTTAAAGTTTCTCTCTATCTTTTATAGTTTTGAAGAAAAAAACGGTAAAATTTATAACTCCTATAAGGAAGTCTTCTGACAGTTTTAATGTAAACAGACAATAGGCAGCTCTCATAATTTTTACTTTGTCAGATTTTCTCCATTCATAACGGTTTTCAAGATAATAGACACAACTTGCATTTAACCCCTATGTTCTATTTTTAGCTATGTCAGCCATAAAAGGCGGGGTCATGGGACACAATTCTTAAACTTAATACGGTAATGATGATTGTTGCAAAGTTTGGCTGAGTAGATTCAGAGAAGAAGATTTTGTGAAAAGTTAACGGACGACCAAAGATGACGAACGCAAGTGATGAGAGCTAACAATGAAAAGATAAACAACAGTCAACAAAACACAGAAGACATAGAAAATTAGACTGATCAACAAAAATTCCACCATAAACAGGGATGATATTAGGTGCTCCAGAAGGATAAAATATAATTTGTGTTGATTTTAGTTTCTATTATCTGTGAACAAAACTTACAAAGTTCCTATCAAGACTTAGATCACCCCTGTTTTTTGGTGGATTTCTTGTTGATCAGTCATCAGTTTTCTACCTTGTGTTTTTTTTGGCTGTTGTTTGTCTTTTCATTATTAGGTCTTATCACTTCGCGTCCGTCAACTTTGGTTGTCCGTTCAGATTCATTCTTGCACTAAAAGGTGTTGTTCTTTTATTTTTTCCATGGGCCTTTGCTAAAGTGCTCACAGCCTGACTATCTTGTGTAATTTTTGTATGGTCTATATTTTTTTACAAGATATGTTTACTAACAAAATACATTTGTCAAATTTTAACTTGTACATAAAGGTCTGGATGGATGGGGGATGGAGGGGGGATGGATGGGGGATGGAGGGTTCCTCATTTCTTTATTCTTTAATATATTTGTCAATTTTTCTTTATATTTTAGCACCACTTTATTTTTTTTATTATATTTTTTTGCTTTTTATCCTTTTATTTTTGCCCATTTATCTCTATATTCTGTTAACCCTCATACATGGTTAGATCTGGACCTGCAAAACTTATCTTGTAAAAAGAAGAATGAACAAACTAATGACAGAATTCCATATCAAATTCTGTTCTCTTTTGTGTCAGAGATATGTCTTGCCTGTAGGCAGAAAATTCTGAAAAGACAATCTGATGGACAACAACATTACTAATTAATTCAAAGTTGCTGGAACATGACATAGGGGTCAGTGGTTCAAAATAATTATCAAACTGAGATGTATTAGGTGTTATTTGAACTATCAAACTGATTTAAGCAGAAATCTTAACATTAACTGATTGATATTTTAGTCTTAGATACATGATTTTTTTTATTAGTTGTTAATGGCTTTGAACTAGCTGTCAGTAACTGCAAGTACTCTCAGATCTGCACTCTGTTTTGTTGGATGAGGGATGGATAAATACCCTGCCATGTCCAGTCTGTGTTTATGTTTGATGTTTTTCTGCTTTGTATCAATCTGACGAGTTAAGCCTTTTTCTACTGATTTTTATAAGTTTGTTCTTATGTTGTGCTGTTACATTACTGTCCCAGGTTTGGGGAGGTTGAGCGTTCACAAACATGTTTAACCCCATCACATTCTTTATGTGTCTGTCCCTAGTCAGGAGCCTGTAGTTCAGTGGTTGTCGTTGGTTCATGTCCGTTATATTTGTTTTTCGTAATTTAATTTGTTATAAATTAGGCCGTTAGTTTTCTCAATTTAATTATTTCATATTTTTCATGTTGGGGCCTTTTATAGCTGACTATATGGTATGGGTTTTTTCATTGTTAAAGGCCATACGGTAGTCTATAACTGCTTACATCCACTTTATTTGAACTTTAGTGGATAGTTGTCTCATTGGCAATCATACCTCATCTCCTTATTTTTATATCAAAATTGCTTATTAATTCAAAGTCACAATAAACTGACTTACCTACTCTGTATATAATTCTGCATCCCTTTAGTAAGAACAAACCACTTTTATCAGCAACATTAAAATAATAACATTTGAAAAATTTATAATTAATTCAAAGTCACAGACTGGACCATGACCTAGAGGGCAGGGCCTGGAAATAGTTGTCAAACTGATAACGACTGATAGTAATGCAACTTTATAGAAAATATCATAGATCTATCACAAGTAGTTCTTATCGAGTTAACTTCAGCAGAAAATTTCACATTGAAATTTGCTTATTAATCGAAAGTCACTGGACCATGACTTGGGGGAAGGGCCTCAAAATATTAATCAAAATGATATGTACTGATAGTAATGCAACTTTATAGAAAATATCAAGTAGTTCCTCTCAAACTGTTAAAGCAAAAAACTTAACCATTGTTAATGCCGATGCAATTATCGTTACAGGAAAAGCAAGCCTTCCAAGACTTTCGTCGCAGGTGAGACAAAAACTATACCATCATAATAAATATGTACTTTATGTAACATTCACTCATACAACATGTCTAATATAACATAACAAAGAGAAATGTACAGGCTAAACATAATTTGTACTTAATTACATAATAAAACATTGTAAAATCACGATAACATAGACATAGTAAAGTTTGTTTTTTTTTAATCAACTTTTCATTACAATTTGAACAATTATAAAATGTTGGGATGATTTTTTTGTTAGAGAAGGGTAGGTTTATAAGTCATTCTTGTGTTTTATTAGTCTCTCGTTTATAATGATCTTTTTGCACATAATTAGACACATATAAGCTACTTAATGAATAAACTAGTAATAACCTATATTATATTGTCTTAAGTCAATGTGAAAAGAAGAAAATTCAATAACACTATCTTTGCAGAATGATATTTTCATATATTTGGTTTTACAAATTATTGAATAACAATACATCTTTTCCTGGATCCTTAGAATATTCACACTTTATAACATGCCTAGTTAAGTCCTTAGTTATATTCTTATCATGCAATAATTTGTGTATGAATCAGAAAATCAGTGTCTATGGAATTCACAGTTTTGATCTTTTGCTAGAAATGTAATATAATGCGCTATAATTATCCATGTTCCTATTTTCAAAATATCTTCACATCTGCCGTAATTTTGCCAGCCTGTGTGATAATTCATCCTAAAAATAAAATCATATGTTCAATAAATAACTATCTATCGTGTGCACAATTGAGTTAAATTACTGTTGGTGTGAATTTTGAGAATTTTTAAAGTTAATATTGGTGATCATGGGTCAAATATATTTGTATTTAAAGTGTAATACACATGGTATTTATTAGACAAGGTCGTAAATCAGAGTTTTCACTTCAATCAACAGCAATCATCATGTTTCAAAGTGAATCACTCTACAGCAAGGTCTATAATATTTTAACTAAATATTTTCTTATAAATACCTCTATTCAAAAGGATTTTTTCTTTTATCTTTTTTTTTCATTGTGTAAAAATGAAAAGGAGGAAAATGTGTAAACTTTATACTAAACAAACAATTGTTAGGGTAAAATATCCATGTGCAATATTTTGATCATACATCTAAGAGTTATAAAAAAAAATTTCGGGTTACATCTGTAATCAGAAAAGTTATTCAATCATGTCTGCTCTTACATTGTCAATTATCAGACAGTGCATTGAAGCCGAAACAATTAAGTGCTAATCTGCATAAGAATCAGGCAGTGGTGAAAACATGACAAAACAAAAACCCACTCAAGATGACATTAAAATATGTTCAAAATGTATAATGGTGCACGAATATAATATTCGTTTCATTTTCCTATTCTGGTAATTCAAGATATAATTTGGTTGAAATGCACTAGAAATTAACAATTAAGGGGAGCTAACTCCGTAATTTGCTATCATTCTTACTAAAAGTTATCTAGAGATTTCTCGAATTACCAGACACGCAGAAATGAAAGACCTACCATTACTAACTCAGGATGAGGGCAGCTTCAAAATAGGATGGTTAGGTCGGTGTGTTTTTTTAGGCCATGTTTTGATTTTTTTTAAAATAGCCTGATTCTTACAAAGACTGGCATTTTAACAATGTTTTAATCTTACAGGAGATACAACTTATTCTAAAAATGTAACCACTTTATCTTTATGTCATCATTAACTATCTGTGCCCAGGACAAAATTATTAGAACTTATTTGTGTCCACCTATTAATTTCAACAGTATCATTTTTTCCCCTTTGCTCCATATCTTATCTTAATCAATTATACAACCTTAATTTCACTATAAAAGAACTTCAAATGGAATCACCTCTATTCAGAATGAACCTCATTTTTACTACTGGTTAAAAAAAAAAACCCTAAAACTCTGCATTCATTATGCAATAAACCAACCTGTTCTGATGATGCTTGTGTTGATGATGCAGTCCCGATCGCTGACCCCTGAGCTGACGGTAGGTCCATATTTAATTCAAGTCTGCAATTTAAAAAGTGATAAACTTAAATATTTAAAATGAAAAAGTTTTATTTTTATATTGAAAACACTGAGTTTAATTTCGAAGAAAGTAGAGAGTTATGCAGTAAATACTAGACAACCAACATAATACAACCGAATCATTTATTTTTTAGTTCATATTTGAGTTATATCACTAATTTCATCCCTGCATGTGAGGGTTGTATCAAAAATGCAATCCATGCGGAATGGGGATTTTAAATCCCATACACTTTGCTGAGAGAGTCTAGGTTAAAGAATGGAGGTCAAAAAGTGTGCTGTTGTAAAGCCAAATTGCTGTCCATGTAAATAATTTCCTCTTTTTATTGTGTGTGGCAGTCCAAATTTCTCACTTTCCTTCCAGTTAATCAACTTTGCACTTGCAATACCTACAGTAATTCTTTAATGTATTGATTGTCCTGATAAAAGCATGTATATTTGCCACTGGATGCAAATCAAACAATCATTTGTGGAATAAATGAGTGTCGCGAGCACCCATTTGATTCTGTTTGACAAATATGTTTCAAAAAGTCTGAACTTAATGGTTTTATCTCATCCACTGTCTACCATAGACCAACTAATTGTCCCAAGCCATTAATTTTTCATGAGTAGAAAAATAGCCCAATTATAAGTAACTTGGATGTTTCCTTCAGGGTTGGCAAAGTATTACCCAGGCCTGGGTTTTCCCGGGCTGGGCAATACTCTCAGAAACGGGTAATACTGGGCAATATGATTTTTAAGCTTATTTTTACACAAAATAGTAAAGACTTCTTGTAGTTTCATAGTGTTATAGCTAAATATGCTAAAACTTAGTAAACATTTTTTAGCAATGAACAGAAATGGTTTGAAAGTAGTTTTCCTTACATATAATTGTTAATTAAAAATATGTTATATATATTTGAAAAAAAACCTAATTGAATTCTTAGGCTTTATGTCAACAGTTTGACCAATCTAGACAGAATAGTGATTTAATAGATTTTTATGAGGATTATTGAGTAAAGCTTTTTTCATTTGTCTATAATGAGTCTTCATGTACACTTGTTTCAGAGTTGCAAGAACAATACTTTCTCAGATTTATGCACTTGTATTATAAGACTCTCAAACAAGTCAACTTATTCATAAATCAAATACTATCTTATTTTTATAAATATCTTTAATTTATTGCACTTGTGATTGATCACTAAATCCTCTTTAAAATTCAGGCCAGCATTTCATATTACCCAGTATTGCCCAGGTTTACTTGGTAAAACCCAGTAAAACCTGGGTTTTCCCAGTATTTCCGACTGGGCTGGGCAATACTCATAAAACCCAGGTTTTGTCCAACCCTGGTTCCCTCATATAAATACATAAAGTTTAAGACTATTACAAAATTGTAAAAAGATATAGCTGTGTATAAGTCAACTAGAAATAAAGTATCTGCCAAAATAATTTGGTTTACAGTATTATCTCCCTTACCCTGCTTCATCTGCTACTTGTTGCATTAAGTTATCAACCTCTCCTTGTGGTGTGGTTAATGTTGATGAATTACACATGGTGTTCTCCATTACTTGAGATTGGACATCTAAGTTCTCAAACTGTGTTTCAAACCTGTCCATTAACTGTGATACCTAGAATGAAATATTTTGCCATCAGTTCTACTTCCAATTTTAGGGTCAGAATCAAGGATGATAATACACACGTTTACCATCTCAAAATGTTACTATCGGTACATTATTACAGGTACCATGAAGTCCCAATTAAAAATATATATATTATCTTGTATATCACTAAAAGAAAAGTAAGTACTACAGATTAATAAATTTGACCAACAATTTAATGACAAAACTTTCTAAACCATTACAGTTTTAGCACATTTTATATTATATTGCTTGTTTTTACCCTACCACCTCTGTTTATATACAACTTGTTTTACCCTACCACCTCTGTTATACTGCTTGTTTTTACCCTACCTTTTCTAAATTCATTGATTTCATTGCAGATTCCATAGACTTCACAACACCTGCCATAGATCCTGTAACCTGGAAATATCAAGGAAATATTTTGTAAATTACATAAATGGTGAAAATTTTAAAAGTGGTCTTCATTAGATTTCTTTGATAATATTGTACAGTTTTCATTTACTTTTTGGAACCCAACACATCATTGGCAATACAGAGCTATACTAAACCAACCCTAACCCTAATACATATACTATCTCATAAACTTAAATCCATAAGCAAAGGTACATTAAAATGGACAAACGAACTATTCCTGATTGTATGTGTTCAATGTACATGATGTAACAATTTTTATTATCATTGAAAAGAAAGAACAAATTTTTTTCAAAGCAAAAGGCTTCTATAAATATTCTTGAAGGCATTATCAATATTTAATGATGTTGTTTAACCCTTGTGTTTTTCTTTTTCCAAACAAAAACAATGTCTTTATTGGATGAAATAACATATGACAAATCATCCATACAGATAGTTGCATAAAGCATATGTAAATAAGTTCTTTGAAATAGAAAAAAATATTACCTAGCTACTGATCAACTACTGTGGATTAATTTTTTTCGTGGGTACCGATTTTTGTGGATTGAGTTGAAATCGTAATTTTGTGGATTTTTGATTTCGTGGTTTTGCCAAAGTCTACATACAATCCCTCAGAAAATTTATACTTTGTTGAACATTTAAATTTGTGGTTCACTTATACCCACGAAATCAACGAATATTGGTATCTAACAAATAATATGGAATCCACAGTACCATAATTGTAGTTGATCATATAGAATAATTTGGTTTTTATATGTATTGAAGGCTTTTTTGATATGAGGAAAATAAAAGGACCCCAGTCTCACGAGTCTCAAGAGTTTAAAATATGTCACTGGTTTTGACTGTGTCTGATGAGTATATTTCAAAAACTTGTGTCATGTACACTGCCCATCATGTTGATATTCTTATGCTAAAGTCAATGTTACCTGTTTTGTGGTTAAAGCAGTCTGGACTCTAGCAGCTACAGCATCAATTCTGGCACTCATTCTACGATAATTTAGTGCCTGGTTCTTTTGTCGTATAGCACTTTCAGCATGTATTTTGGCACCTTCTGTGTTACCTTTTTGAATTGCCTATATTTTCAAATTTAAAAATTGTCATTAGACATGTTATATTCAAACTACATCAATGTAAACACAATTTTGCACTTCGTTCCATGGTGGACAACCTCTTTTCTTTGTGATGTAAAGTAAATACCTCTCATTGTTGACCATACATGTGTATAGAACTCTTTTAAAACAAGTTCAAATACATCATATTATGTTTGATACTATGACATACATTTTGTACATTGTTCATCTGATGTCCTTTCATTTTATTATACAAACAAACCTTTACCATACAATGTATTTGTTTTTTCATTTGTTGTTTTGTACATGTACATAAATCAGCCATTGGTTTTCTTGTTTAAATCTGTTTACATTTCATCATGTAGAGGCCTTTGATAGCTTGCTATATATGTCAATTATTATGGTATGGGTTTTGCTCATTGTTGGAGACTGTACAGTGCCCTTTAGTTGCTACCATCCATGTGTTTGGTTTCTGGTGGATAGTTTGTTGTCTCATAGGCAATCATACCACTTCTCCTTATTTTAATATTAATTTCATAATGTCATCATGGCCATATTTGATGAATAAAATTCAATGTTTGTTGATTTGTAGATGTTATGGTTTACCTTTTTCAACTTTCCTTTTTCTTCTCTTTCTGACTTTTCACATTTTTTGGCATTTCTTTCAAGATCTTTGGCAGCAAATTTTAGATTAAATAAATGTTCTGAACATAAATTAAGGAAAATATAACTAAAACAAAAAATGTTATCTTGTTTATGAGAATTGGTTTAAAACAGATGGGTGAACAACATTGGGAAAGTTCATTTTTCTGTGGAATTCACACTTCATTCTGTTTTTAGAAAAAAACGTCTGTTGGCCACTGCATAAAGTTGTCTCTAACGTCAATCAAAGCATTAGTAACATCATTCACAGCTCTCGAGACGGTTGCTTTGTCATACCCCATCGTATCTCTAATCACTTGTAGGAATGACCCAGAGGCATAAAACCTCAACGCTATATATGCAGACTTGCTGCTCTACTGTTAAAGCAGTTTCCTTTGTCGTTGACCTCCTCAGTTTATCTTCCACAAGATTGCTAATGTAGGCAATAGACTCCCTTCCAAACCTATATCTTGCCCTCATTTCAGTATCTGTCAAATTTGTTAGATGAGAGACATTTCCTCTAAAGATTCTTTCCTTTCTTTGCCTAAGTGTCATCAACAGAGCAGCCATTTTACAAATTATAACCCTTTGTTAAGTATTTAACGAAGGTCTATAGCAGCATTGATTTTTTAGAAGTTTAAAACGACAGTTTAACGTTGCGTTAAATTTAACGTAGAGATGAGCAACAGGTTTAACAATGCATTATCATATTTTAACAACAGAGTTAGATTTAACGACAAGTGGAACAACCAGCCCCAGAGTATCAGTAATCCAATGTTCAAAGTCAGTTATTATCTACATATCAGTCATTTGCAAAGTCTGAGTTGGCAAAGAGTATTGCCCCGCCCAGTGAAAAATACTGAGAAAATCTGGATTTTTCTGGGTTTTAATGGGCAGTATGAAATGCTGACCTGAATCTGTAAGAGGATTCAGTGATTTATGAGAAATGCAATTTACATTTACAAAAGACATAATATTTTAGTTTATAAGTTGTTTTTTTTTTTGTGTAGGTTGAAACAGCTGCTTTGAATGACTCTACAGTCGCTCATCACCATTCTCAGAGGAAGGCGCTATAATAATCAAAATGATGGAAATCACTCATGGAAAGATTGGAAGAGTAGTTTGAATAATTTCAAATCATATTTAGGTAAAAATGTATGGTGTGGACAAAAAGAACATTAATATAACACTATTGCTGATCATGACAATTGCATGAACTGCAGCAGCCGGTTGTACTAACGTTGCATTAGCCTAATGGGTCATTAAGTCTACATTAAGCCTTTATGATCGATGCATTAGGCTAATGAAGACTTAATGACTCATTAGCCTAATGACACGTTCGTACAACCAGCTGCTGGTCTTTAGAAGGATAAGCACTTTTTCAGTAAATAAAATGAGCACAATGTGAATCAATGATAGCAGGTCCCTTAATTTGCACAACAGTTTCGTTTAAATTGCAGTTTATAATTTATATCTTAACCAAATAATGTTACCAGTTACATGCTTCACCTTTTATGTTTTATCTTTCAAAACAGAAGAAATTGCAAAACAAAGATTCTTCTAATAAAGTTAAAGTTTATCAATTGTCCTTGTAGGACATGGGACCAACAGATAGACTTAATGCTTAGAACTTTATTGTCTCAAAAATTAATCTAAAAAGGTTCTTTTGGGGCATTTTGTAAGTTGAAACATAGGTGTACTATTTTTCTCCTCTAAGAATTGCTTATTGATTTTGAAAACAGTTACATGTATGATTGTGTGACACTGAAGATTAAAAGTTGTAGAGTGTATTTAAATTAAATTTATGATTTAAAATTTTCTCGAAAAGAGCATTGAAAGCTGTACTTTTTCAACATAAACAAATTAAAAAACTTATTTTATTGAAATTGGGATTCATTCTTAATTGCAAAATTACACTTCTTGTTTTTAACCATTGTCAAATGACTAGAATTGTTAACAGACATTTGCTGGGGATAAACTAAATAAATGTGGAATGTGTCCATGGGACACAGATGATGCCCCAGCTTGCATATCATATAAAGATATAAAGGGACATAACTGAAGAACAGTAAAAGTGACCCTTCCCAAATTTTTACTTGATCTGAGTTTTGTGGTAATAAGCATTGTGTATAAGTTCCATAACATTTGGTTGAGGCAAACTAAAGTTAGAGAAGGGAAACCAACTTTGGGACGTACGTACGTACAGACGGACAAGGGTAATACTTAATGCCCCCTCCGCTACGACGGGGCCACGGGGGCATAAAAATATATTGGTTTGCTCGGGTTAAGGGTTTTAAACTTTTACTTACTGTTTCAAGCCTATCACTGATAAGTGTACTAACCTAAATTATTGATTAATTACAGATGATTATTGCAAAGATTTATCAAGTAAAATATAGGCCTTACTTGAATACCTTTTTTATATTTAGATTTCAAATTTTGTCTTTTCTTTTGAAAAAAAAAATCTTGTTAATCCTTAATTAATCATTTATCTTTCAGACATAATTTACAGAATAATTCTATGTAGTGTAGATCAAAAGTAATAGGCAATGAATAAATCTATCATTTCTATATATCAAACATCTAATATATACATTTGTGTATTCAATTATGAGGTCAAGTATTTGTGTATTGAGATGTATAATGAAGGGTCTGTTTAATTATGTAAGACTGTGGTTGATTAGTAATGTGGTCAATATGATTGGCATTTAAGGAGGTGGCGCATTGTAATTAAGCCCCACCTTGCCTCTGATTGTTTGGTGATCATGACAGTTGTCAATCATACTGGTATTGTATCATTACTCCTACCTAATCAAAGTGACGAAAATAGCCAGCACATTGACAAACCTTTAAGACATAAATGTACATACTTGAATGAACTGCTCCAAAAATATAACCCAAATTTTTCACAGTTCATATGTGCATATGTACACAGACATGAGAATTATAGCAGACTACACGAATGAATTTTATTTTTACAGGACATTTGGTCTGGTAAACAACCTAGCTTTACCAGACTGAATGAAATTTTTTTACATCTAATTGTATATTATCCGACAAAAAACAACAAACTTATGACTTGTTGTGACCTACTCCTCTCCAAAATGCACAAAAACAAAATCATGTGACAAGAGTGTATATTTTGATGAAAGTTGTGCACAATTGCTTGAATGCATTTCAGGAATATAATTATTACCATCATAATAACTCCAATTATTTAACATATGATTCTAACTTGGGACAAGGCACATCAAAGAAAAAATGGTGATTTAACTAAGTTTATCTAGATATATTGTTTAAGAGTCTCTTGTAAAAGAGAAAAGGGACAGCCAGTTTTCAGCTTCATCACGAAACCAAACACAAAAAGCCACGGCCAATTTTCTTGCCATTTTTTATTCAATTTCTGTGATGGTCTGTGTGTCTCATATGCTTTGCTTTTTTCTTTCCTTTCATCATCCGTTATTTTCTTTTTTGCAGCTTTACCAGGAATGGCTCCTTTACGTATATTTTAATAATCCAATCATGTTATCTTTTCATATATAAATTTGAAAATACAAAGAAAGTAGTATTCAACCAGAAATACGATAATAAAAAAAAACAAAACTGGACGATAAACAACACCGGACATTTGGACCGGAATTCAACAAAATTTTACCAGACCGATCCATTATTCATAGGATTTGCCCGACAAATTTCGTGTAGTCTGTTATAGGGAACTATATTTCAGTGTGTATACATTTTGTAGATTTAGTAGCTTACCTGTGCTACTTCTTGTTAGGGAGGCCGGTGCCTTAGGAAAGACTTGGAACAATAGTTCCAATCTTTCCAAAAACAAGTGATCTGTGAGTGACATATTTTTGTTGTTCCGTACTGGGACATAATATACTTAAATCTTCAATATCTAAAGTTTATTTCACTGAAAATTGATACCGGTTTTGAGGTGTAATACTCATATATGGGAATAATATCCATTTACGAGCCCGAGAATCTTTCCCAACCTGTAAAACTTACTTCCGTTGTACATATTTACATTTAAAAATACAACAAAAACTCGTAGCTTTCTTGAATCTTAGACACAAATTTCCATCATTATATATAAAGGATACTGTCCATTTTCTCTGTTTATGATTCTAGAACCCTAGTTTGTCAAAAGAAGATATAAAATGACTTTTTCTCTTGTGATCCTGTGTTGTTTTTGTTCGTGATGTCATTCAAGTCGTGAGTAATATCTGGAACGGGTGCTGGTTCTTTATTTAGACACAAATTATTCGGAACTTAAAAACGACTGAAGACTCTAGAGGTCATTAGAACGGAGGAAATGAAAATCACATGTGAGCATGAAGGATAAAACTCAAAATAAGAGAAAATCAGATTCGGCTGTAATTAAATCCCCAAAAAAGAAGAAGACAGAAAAGGATGAATACACAGAAGTTCATTTCAAAGTTGAATTAAAAGATCCCATCACCACATTCTTAGGTAAGATCAAAAAATATACACTGATATATGTGTTGATAAACAGAGGGCAGAGGAATAGGTAGTAATATATCATGTAACTTCATGTATTAGTCCTAGTTGTGTTGACTAAATTCCTGAAAGGGATACTTTCTATGTAAAGAGCAGGTTTTTTTTTTAAATGGCTGCTTTAATTGATTTCCCATAACATTCAAAATAAAATGTTTTGACCTGTAAACATGGTAAATTTTATGTCATATTTAGGACATTTCAAATGAAATGTGTTATTAAATTGTTATAGCCCACTTAGGTGACTTGGTAACACTCCTTTATTCCTATTTCGCTATAACAGATGTACATGTATTAGCTACTGCTGTAAGATATATATTAATTACAAAAAATGTATGTTATTCTTTATTCATGCACATCAGTTACATGAGTTAGTAACAGACTACACGAATGAATTTTATTTTCACAGGACATTCGGTCTGGTAAACAACCTAGCTTTACCAGACCGAATGAAATTTTACCAGACCATTTTTTTTTTACATCTAATTGTATATTATCCGACAAAATACAACAAACTTATGACTTGTTGTGACCTACTCCTCTCCAAAATGCACAAAAACAAAATCATGTGACAAGAGTGTATATTTTGATGAAAGTTGTGCACAATTGCTTGAATGCATTTCAGTGATAGAGAAAAGTAATGTCACATTTTATTGGATTTTGACATGAAAATTATTTGTGAACTAAAAATAATTTAGAGTTTCTGTATAAAATATTTCCTGTTTCTTCTTTCTTTTTCATATATCTTTTGGTTTTCAATTCTAGTGTTTATATTTCATACATGTAGCTGTATTTTGTGACCTGCTTGGATTTTTTTTATTTATTTATTGTATTTGATCGGCAAACCCGGAATTAGCCTTATCCGTTCCCTGAATCTGACCTGGTATTGTCTACATTTCCGATTGATGGCAGCCATTGTTTTTGTCAGTCAGATATGTTTTTTCCCGGATTTATACATTACTTGTTGGCGATTTTTCGACATAAAGCTAGCGGTTGAACAAAATAAACATCGCTGTCATGAATAATAAAGATGAAAATGAATTTTGAGATCGTTTGGGAATTTTGCTAGAATGCTAGAAAAATCCATGAAAAAAACAACACCGGACATACGGAGTGGAATTCAACAAAATTTTAACAGACCGATCCGTTATTCACCAGATTTGTCCGACGGTCCGACAAATTTCGTGTAGTCTGTAGTAATAATCTAAGATTTGATGGATTACTAGATTTGGTTTTAACATATGCTCAAATAAAGTTTTAACAGTCTAAAATTATGAAAGTTCAGCATTTCTAGATTTATTGAGGCCAATGAGGTCATTGTTTTCTTGCTGACGCAGCTCATATGTTGTTGTAATTTTTGTGTTTGTGTGGTGTTTTTTTTATTTATACATGTCTCATGTCTAGATTGCATTGCATAATTATTGATCTGCAAATGTTTAAAATGTTATTGTTTATGTGTTACAATATATTTGCCCTCCTTAATGGGCACCAATTTGGTGAGAAAAAAAAAATCTGTTTCAGAGTCAGATTTAGAGGGTTTTTCAGGGGGCCCGGGCCCCCCCTTTTTGGGGAAAAATTTGGTTGATTATATAGGGAATCACTGAAGCATGACTGGAGCAGGCCCCCTCTTAGGCAGTCAGTGGGTCCCACTTATGAAAAATTCTGGATCCGCCACTGTGTTCTATTTAAACAGCAGTGTTATAAACAATTCTACCTTTGAATATTTCATTTTATATGGTTTTGTAGCTTTAGACAAATTTCATGATGCTGCAGACAAGTTCTTAGATGGAGAAGGTTATGACATTGTAGCAGGATACTGTAGATCATCAGAAGAATGTACAGAAATACTACAACTGTTAGAAGGAGGAAAAAGAAAACCATCAGAGGTACACCTATACTTTAGATTCTTTATGGTAGAATACCATCAGAGGTACACCTATACTTTAGATTCTTTATGATAGAAAACCATCAGAGGTACACCTATACTTTAGATTCTTTATGATAGAATACCATCAGAGGTACACCTATGCTTTAGATTCTTTATGGTAGAATACCATCAGAGGTACACCTATACTTTAGATTCTTTATGATAGAATACCATCAGAGGTACACCTATACTTTAGATTCTTTATGATAGAATACCATCAGAGGTACACCTATACTTTAGATTCTTTATGGTAGAATACCATCAGAGGTACACCTATACTTTAGATTCTTTATGATAGAAAACCATCAGAGGTACACCTATACTTTAGATTCTTTATGATAGAATACCATCAGAGGTACACCTATACTTTAGATTCTTTATGATAGAATACCATCAGAGGTACACCTATACTTTAGATTCTTTATGATAGAATACCATCAGAGGTACACCTATACTTTAGATTCTTTATGATAGAATACCATCAGAGGTACACCTATACTTTAGATTCTTTATGATAGAAAACCATCAGAGGTACACCTATACTTTAGATTCTTTATGATAGAATACCATCAGAGGTACACCTATACTTTAGATTCTTTATGATAGAATACCATCAGAGGTACACCTATACTTTAGATTCTTTATGGTAGAATACCATCAGAGGTACACCTATACTTTAGATTCTTTATGATAGAATACCATCAGAGGTACACCTATACTTTAGATTCTTTATGATAGAATACCATCAGAGGTACACCTATACTTTAGATTCTTTATGATAGAATACCATCAGAGGTACACCTATACTTTAGATTCTTTATGATAGAATACCATCAGAGGTACACCTATACTTTAGATTCTTTATGGTAGAATACCATCAGAGGTACACCTATACTTTAGATTCTTTATGGTAGAATACCATCAGAGGTACACCTATACTTTAGATTCTTTATGATAGAAAACCATCAGAGGTACACCTATACTTTAGATTCTTTATGATAGAATACCATCAGAGGTACACCTATACTTTAGATTCTTTATGGTAGAATACCATCAGAGGTACACCTATACTTTAGATTCTTTATGATAGAAAACCATCAGAGGTACACCTATACTTTAGATTCTTTATGATAGAAAACCATCAGAGGTACACCTATACTTTAGATTCTTTATGATAGAAAACCATCAGAGGTACACCTATACTGTAGATTCTTTATGATAGAAAACCATCAGAGGTACACCTATACTGTAGATTCTTTATGATAGAAAACCATCAGAGGTACACCTATACTTTAGATTCTTTATGATAGAAAACCATCAGAGGTACACCTATACTTTAGATTCTTTATGATAGAAAACCATCAGAGGTACACCTATACTTTAGATTCTTTATGATAGAATACCATCAGAGGTACACCTATGCTTTAGATTCTTTATGATAGAATACCATCAGAGGTACACCTATGCTTTAGATTCTTTATGGTAGAATACCATCAGAGGTACACCTATGCTTAAGATTCTTTATGGTAGAATACCATCAGAGGTACACCTATACTTTAGATTCTTTATGGTAGAATACCATCAGAGGTACACCTATACTTTAGATTCTTTATGGTAGAATACCATCAGAGGTACACCTATACTTTAGATTCTTTATGGTAGAATACCATCAGAGGTACACCTATACTTTAGATTCTTTATGGTAGAATACCATCAGAGGTACACCTATACTTTAGATTCTTTATGATAGAATACCATCAGAGGTACACCTATACTTTAGATTCTTTATGATAGAATACCATCAGAGGTACACCTATACTTTAGATTCTTTATGATAGAATACCATCAGAGGTACACCTATACTTTAGATTCTTTATGATAGAATACCATCAGAGGTACACCTATACTTTGGATTCTTTATGATAGAATACCATCAGAGGTACACCTATACTTTAGATTCTTTATGATAGAATACCATCAGAGGTACACCTATACTTTAGATTCTTTATGATAGAAAACCATCAGAGGTACACCTATACTTTAGATTCTTTATGATAGAATAGAAAATGGAAACGGGGAATGTGTCAAAGAGACAACAACCTGACCAAACAGCAAAAAAACAGCCCAAACCCACCAATGGGTCTTCAATGCAGCGAGAGAATCCCACACCCAGGAGGCGGGCTTCACCTGGCCCCTAAACAATAATGTATTCTAGTTCAGCAAAATGGACACCACACTAAACTCGGAAACATACAAATGAACCAAAATTGAAAAAACACACAAGACTAACAAAGGCTAGAGGTTCCGGACTTGGAACAGGCGCAAAATGCAGCGGGTTAAACATGTTTTGTGAAATCTCAACCCTCCCCCTATACCTCTAGCCAATGTGGAATAAACAAACATACAGCAATACGGACAATAAACTCAGTTGAAAAGAATGAGTCCGATGTTATAATTGGTAACAGAAGAAACTATGCAAAATGTAAATGAAGAACAAAGTAATACTAGCAGTTACTGACATGTCAGCTCCAGACCTCTTAAATTGATCAAAAGATTATGTCTTCATCATATCAAAATCAGCCACAATTTCTCCTGTATCATGCCATCATTAATTATATGAGAAGAACAAAACCCCCTGACTGTAAAATGCCAACAACTGGTTTAAGAATAAATGTGTTTATTTTCGATGCAAAGACCATATCATATGAGTGAAATCAACATTAATTCCAAAACATGCCATCTTTAATGACTTGACAACAGTATCATAATTAAACTGATCGAAAGATTTTTGCAATAGT